ATATTTAAAATATATTTTTCCTGGAAACAATACCCTATTTTTTTCTTTACCCCTTTAAAAATAGCGCGATTTCTCTGTCAACTCGTTCTCAAAATGTTAGGATAAAGTCACTTTTTTGTCAGGATTGGTCAGGAAAATGCCAGGATATTCGGAAACTGGGACTTCGTGGCAACCCTGAAACCAGAAACAAGCAAACTCAGTTTTATAAAGTATTATAAGTATTATAAAATATTATAGGTATTATACGGTACTGTAAGGTCCGTGTACCCAGTATTATCTGAGTCGGCGACTCCTCGCTGTCTGTACACAGTGCTGTTTTATGTGCACGTACGCGTCGAGTTACAAATTTAACTGTGGACAAATGTTTGTTTTCTCCAATGCAAACTCGTCATTTGCAACTAACGTGAATGTTTCTGTCGACGCAGGTGATGCGGAGCGCTTTCTCACGCGCGGGCGATTCCAACATCCGATGGGGATCGAGTTTCATTTCGATGCCTCGCTGTACAGCGAAGTGGAATGGGACGAAGAAAAAAGGTTGATGAGGAACAACCTGGTCTTTCTCACGGACAACAATCTCCAGGATTTCGTCGTGGGTTTGATTCATGCCAGTGGGCAGAAGCTCCTGCAAAAGGGGTGCATCATTATCAAAATAATTAAAGGATTTGATGACAGGGGGTATCCAGTGCTGGATGACCAGGCCCCTTTCATAGGGAAGACGTGGCGCATGGTTGAGTCGTCCCAATTTCATTTTCCATTTTTGCAAGTTACAAATATCTTGCGAAAGGAAATTGGCATGGTGACTTTGCGGAACAGTTTCGGAATGGCTTTCGAATTCTATGACGAAATCGTGTATGGAATTGTGCAACCTGCCAAAGAACCGAGATACACATCGGAGATGGAAACTCTTCAGTAAGTTGACACGAACTTATATGTTTTGTTCTGTGTGCGTGAGTGGTTTCTTTTTTTCAGCCCCCCCTTCTGTTTAGAAAAAGCTAACTTGCGGCCCTAGGCGGGCGGTCTGGTTTCTCTGTCTGTTCCACTATATGCCGATGAGCTGGAGACTTATTTTTCGGGTATGTTAGGGGCCACTCCTAGACACCAAAGCGCCTACGGCAAATCCTGTCAAACATCCCTAAGGGGATGTGAAGGGGTGGGAAAGAAATAGAAGTAGCTCTAGAAACTGTAAAGATAAATATTTTTTTTTTTTGTGTCGTCATGGATCACTCTTCAAAGTTAAACCCTTCGGGCTCTAATTTTGTCCGTTTTGCTTTATTTCTAGACGCACTTATTGCGCGCTGCAGAGTAGGGTTAACCCTACAATCAAATATGACCAAATTTCAGCTAGCAGGTAGTCACCTCAGCCGCGTGTGCTACACTCTAAATGTCAAGGGACAATTTTGTCCGTGGATTTGCAACGATTTCGTGCACATCCAGAAAGGATGCAATTTTGTTCCCTTAATTGGACAAATTGTGTGAAGTTTCACACAATTTGTCTAGTTTTAGGAACAAAATTGCATCCTTTCTGGATGTGCACGAAATCGTTGCAAATCTACGGGCAAAATTGTCCCTTTACATTTTGAGTGTAAGGCATCGAATCCCAACCTAGAGGTTCTGCGTTCAAGTATGCAGGAGATTCTGCATTCAAGTACACACTTGGGTTTCCAGAGCATGAACATCCAATAATTTTGTTATGTATCGATGAGAACAAATTTCTGTATCCGTATTACAGATTTTTTATTTTGTATCCCACAGAATACAATTTTTTGTGTCACGGATCAGTATAAACGCAAGTGTGTGAATGTCGCTCAGTTGCAGGGATGTGAATATTCCTTCGTACATTTAGGATGAATTTTTAGAATTTCCAGAATGCTGAAGAAACTGCGTATCTTATCACTTAATTCAAAGTGTGAAACTTTTCACACATTTTCGTGTGATATAATGCCCTGTGCGATTCCCATGATTTATCATCCCTGATAGAGTGATGAATTTTTATCACAAATTTTGTGTGACACTTATTGCAACACTGCAAAAAATTAGAGTGTGATACGGAACGATCTGTAGCGTTACTGTAGATGCCGCTCTTAGTCATTGCACCTGGGGTACAGAACGCGGAGTACAGTGTTGCTGTAGCACCGGAAAGCCCAGGTTTTACACGGTACAGTGTACGAAGACGGCTCCACTGTAGACAGTTTTGTCTGCTTTTGCCTGTACAGTGGTCCTGTACATTGCTCCCTGAACCAAATTTTAACCATTAAAACTACAGCGACGCTGTTATTCGAATAACAGACGTTCCTCGAAAATTAATTAGCGGCGATGCTGTCATTTTTCCTGTCATAATTTTTTGCAGTGAAGTAGTCCGATGATGTCGTATACTGCAAAAAGGTGTGATTCACATAGCAGAAAACTATGATACCTCGGAGTATCGCCCAAATAAGTGATGGCCATACAACTTACAAGCAATGAATTTTATGTTGCACTTTTTCTGCGATGATCATCACAGCATCGTGCAATAATATGCAATATATGCAGTCAGTTTCACACTCTGGTTACTACTGAATCAAAAAAATGTAAATTTTTTCTAGAGTTTTTTCACTGTCTTTGTCTCTCTTGTATATGACAGACGGGCAGTCACCAGGTCTTTTACATAAGTCTGCTTCATAGCTATTTCAATAAAGCACTGTGGTGGTTCAGGCAGTTCCTGTCGTTCATGTGCTGTGAGGATGTATATTATTACAATTTGATTCCAACATAAACAAGCTCCTGAGCTCCTGACTAAAATTGCTTTCGATAGGGGGTAGTTCTGCGGCGTGGAAATTGAAGTCCATATTATTTTGTGCTTTAGAATTCGCCGACTCCGTCGTGACATGAGGGATGAGCTCAATTCTTCTCAGTACACAGCACTAAAGAAAGTACTGAAGCAAAGAGTTGCATTGGTGCAGGGCCCGCCTGGAACAGGAAAGACATATCTGGGCGGCAAGGTAAGTAATAATTTAGATATGTTGTATTTGCAAGTGGTCGGAAAATAGCCCTGCAAACCTAAGTGTTGAACAACATGACAGTTGTAGCTGCAAATGTAAAATTTTATTTCTGACAGTTCCATGTTCTTTCTCGGCTTTCACTTCCATTTCAAACGAGCCTGAGCCGACATGTGATGTGGTTGCGATTTATGTTGAAACTGCCCTATTCAAGAAAACCATAGCTAAAGTCAACCTCAGAGGTTTAAGTAGGATGGCTTAACGTTACTTAGGATGATACTCCTATTTTAATCAGAATATACCTTCTATTGAGGTTAACACCCCTGACAATTGTGAGTGAAAAAAATCGTCCATTTTTTTACAACAACATTTAAATAGAACATCATTCATTTTTGATCGTCTTTTAAGGTTTTTTTTTTCTTTATTTTTCCATCCGCTCGTTCTTCGCTTTAGAATTGCTTTCCACTGTCAAGAGTGCGTCTCTTCTTGTATTAAAAGTAATATTGGGGTTTAGTTTTCAGTTCAAAAACAGAAATGTTTAAGATTTGAACTATGTGCCACTAGCTTGTAAATAGGCAGATTCTTTTTTTTTTTTTTCATCCGTAGGAGGACACAATGATAATTCGAACTCCTTAGATTTTTTTCACGGTGTAGTTAATACGGTGTAGGCTCTCCGGCCGGTAGCGGGCTAAAAGACGGCCGCGGAAAGACGGTACATTCGTAGTTCCAGAAGAGCCGCCAGTGCCGCTTGCGTCGACCGATGCCGGGCGAAGGGGAGGCGGGATGGGACGGGAGCGGTGCCCCGCTCGTCTCGTCCCTTCTCCCCTCGCCCGGCATCGGTCGACGCCAGCGCAACTGGCGGCTCTTCTGGAACTACGAATGTGCCGTCATTCCTGGCCCCCTTCCCCTCAGCTCAGAGCCGACACCGTATTAACTACATCGTGATTTTTTTCTTAGCTCGCTTTCGCTAGCGCTGATGGTGACTTCTTGTGTAACTTTGATTTGTGGTTGGTCACAATTTTTAATTTGTGTTCTTGAGAATTTTTTTCGCTTGCCTCGCTCGCTGCTGATATCCCTTTTCCCTTAGTTTGTGGTCCAAATTTTAAATCATCTCTTTGCTCGTTTCGCTCGCGAAAGCTTTATCTCGCCCCTGGGCATCAAAAACTGGTTTTACGTGTGCTTGAGTAATGATCATTTTGGAAAACAGTTCATTGTACTTTCAAAAGTGCCTAATTTTTATTTAATTTCCCTGATAATCTATTATCATGTCAGATCCAGGAGAATGCCACCCTTTAGCCTTTCGCTGGATCCGCGCCTGTTGCAGTTAGAACTTTCATCTTGTTCTACACTTTAAATTGCTTAGTATTTGTGTCTTCTACTTATGTGTTTTAGTACTTGTAGCTTGATACTAACTTGTTGTACGTTTCCCAGCTCTTGTAATACAATGGATCCTATGCACAGCCATGGTAAAAACGGTGTCTCATTATTTGAGGGAAAAGGGAAAACTTTGAGGAACTCCCATGTTTAAGGAAAACTATTCTGACTTGCTTTAGATTTTCAGGAATCTTCTCATAAAACAAGGAAAAATCCCACATTTTTAAGATGCTCTAGTTTTTTTAGTTTTCCTCGAAGTAAGGGAGTTCTTTATGGGGTCATCCTAGTGTAACGAGCCTAAAATAGGGGTGATTTGCGTAATTAATTGTAGAGAAACTATAGTGTTTAGAACAAAACCGAGTATACTGTCTTGTAACGCATACTTTTGACTTTAAAACGAAATGTGTATGACGTCAATACGCCTACCCAAAGTTGAGATATCCCTTGTTGGAAACGGCACTGCAGCGTTGTCGTCTTTTCATGGTGTACCGGATTCCGGCCGCACCGTTGGGCCGTTGAGGTTCCGATTTTTTGTGGATGTTCCTAACACTTGTAGGTATGGCATGAACTAGGATATCTGGAATCGGTCAACTCCTTCATCCCGAAAAAAAATCAAAACTATGAGAGTCTTAGCTTTTTTTCGATATGTCAACTTTAAGCTGCTCGAAAAAATAGTAAAAATTATCCGATCGCAAATATCCTAGTTCATGCCATAACTACGTTCATACAGAGTCTAAAAATTCTTTGTTGGACTGTGTAAGACCAACGGCTCGACTTTAAATACGTACACCATGACAAGACGACAAAGCTGCAGTGCCGTTTTCAACAGGGGATATCGCAGCTTTGGGTGGGCGTGTCGACGTCCTACACATTGCGTTTTAAAGTTAACAGTATGCGCTACAAAACTGTTTACTCGGTTTTGTTTTTAAAACTATGGGTTCTCTAAAATTAATTACGCAAATCACCCTTAGTTTAGGCCCGCTACACTAGGATGCCCCCTTAAGGCGGCTTTTATCTCCAAAAATGCATTTTTGGTTCATTTGTCAATAAAATCAGTTTCTGGGCCACTTAGGTGAAGGGATGGCACCTGAGGGTATATTTCTTAACACAAGGGATGGCTTAACACATTAACAATATCAGAATGCCATGAACTTTACTCTAAAGAGGTCCCAAGTGTGTACTTCCATTTTTATCGGATATCTTCTTTTAAAGTTTACGCGCAGGATTTCTCCGGAGAAAGTGGTGATAAAAAACTGGTCAATAGCTTGCTTGTTTCAGTTCATCAAGGACTACAAATTGACTCAGGGGTTGTACTGAATTTTGAAAAATAAAAATTATGCATGATAAGTTACATTTAGAAAATATTTTTTTTTACTCCAAATATAGGATAATTTTTAATTTTTAAAATTCAGTAAAACCCCTGTGTCAATTTGTAGTCCTTGATGAACTGTAACAAACAAGCTTTTAACCAGTTTTTTATCACCACTTCCTCTGGAGAAATCCTGCACGTAAACTTTAAAAGAAGATATCCGATAAAAATAGAAGTACACACTTGGGACCTCTTTAAAGTAAAGTTCATGGCATTCTGATATTGTTCATGTGTTAAGCCATCCCTTGTGTTGAGAAATATACCCTCAGGTTCCAGCCCTACACATACAGTGGCTCAGAAACTGATTTTATTGACAAATGAACCAAAAATGTATTTTGGGAGATAAAAGCCCCCTTAAAGTTTCCCGCCCTTTCCCTAAAAAAATGAGATATCATCTTTACCGTGCCGCGTGCGATCTACACTCTAAATGTAAAGGGATAATTTTGTCCGTAGATTTGCAACGATTTCGTGCACATCCAGAAAGGATGCAATTTTGTTCCTAAAACTAGACAAATTGTGTGAAACTTCACACAATTTGTCCAATTAAGGGAACAAAATTGCATCCTTTCTGGATGTGCACGAAATCGTTGCAAATCTACGGACAAAATTGTCCCTTGACATTTAGAGTGTACGTGTGCGTTTTGTTCATACCGCGTGCACAGCGTTTCTGTGCGCCAACGAACTTGCTCAGGTTTGACACCTATACGGCCGGCCTACGGAGGCTGTGCGGTGTGTGGTCACGAGAGTGCACTCTCAGATCGTTCCTGACTTTATTCTAGAGTAAGATGCCCTATGATGGCCACCTTAAGAATGGGCCTGCCCAATGATGGCCACCCCTTTTTCTTGTAATGTAGGCAACGATGTGAAGTAGTTTGGCTTATTATGCCATCACTACTTCAAGGCCAAGATTGTAAAGCGACCAGATTGGCTGGAAATCGAGGAAAGTGGTTATCAATGGGACAGTGGTCATAATAAGGCACCTTACTTACCCTAAGTGGGCGACGAACTTCTTTGTGCAGCAGTGCTCACAAGTTTTGTGAGAACTGTATAATTTTAAAGAAGAATATTGTTTGCTAGTGTACTTCAAATGACTTTTTGTGAATAACAATTTTCAAAATAATTAATATTACTCACATAAATTTTGTATTACTGCTGCACAAAAAAGTTCGTCTTTCTATACAAATTTTCAGAAACGGGCTGAGCATGCAGAGAGAACGTTTCCTGATACTCTCTACCTGTGATGCTACAGCTGGATCCGGGTTTAGTGGCGACAACCGGTGGGTTGATCGCGGCTATGAGAACCGCTCATAGGAGGAATAGAACTTGGTTGCGGGGAGTAGGAGCTGTTTTACATTTCGGGGCTGCAGCTAGAAATTTGATCGCTGTGATCTAACTTTCGACTGGCAGTAGCCCGCATCGGAAAGAAGGTCAACCTCTGAAATTTGAGAGGTTGCACCCTCTAAAAATCGTTTTGACCTTGCGTAGCGACCCTGTGCAAAATCTGGGCGCCACCACGGTAAAAACAGTGTCTCATTTTTTGAGGGAAATGGGAAAACTTTGAGGAGTTCCCCTGGTTAGACAAAAACTCCTCAGATTTCGAGGAAGTCTCTTCCAAAAATGGGATTTTTCCTCATTTTGTGAGAAGATTCCTCAAAATCTGAGGCGAGATCGGAGGACTCTTCCTCAAACATGGGAGTTCCTCAAAGTTTTCGCTTTTCCCTTAAAAAAATCAGATATTGTTTTTACCGGTTTTTACCGTGGCCAGACAACTCTTTCCCGACCCCGGATCGCATTTGAAGTTGGGAACTCAGAGCGGCCGCCAGAGGGACCACCATGTTGATTCAGTGCTACGTGCTACTAGTTCGCCTAGGAGCGACAGGGTACTGGTCAGGTGAGACCCTATGGCCCCTAACTCTCAACTGCCACGGAGCTGCACTGTAAATCACAGTGTAATACTGACTGCACATATTCTGTGATACAGATATATTGCACGATGTTGTGATGATCATCGCAAAAAAGTACAAGATTAAATACATTGCTTACATTTGTGATAACAATCACTTATTTGAGCGATACTTCGAGGTATCATAGTTTTGTGCAATGTGCATCACACTGTTTTGCACTAAATCCAGAATTATCGCATTATTTTGCGATAAGTATCACACAATATTTGTGATAAAAATTCATCACTCCCCCAGGAGTGACAAATCAAGGGAATCACACCGGGCATTTTATCACACGAAAATGTGTGAAAAGTATCACACTTTGAATTACAGTGTGGGGATCGCAGCGCAGCTGGGGTCAACATGGTAGTCTCGCGGCCGTTTCGAGTTCCCAACTTCAAATGTGATCCGGGCCAGAAAAGCGTTGTATGCACTGTAATTCAAAGTGTGATACTTTTCACACATTTTCGTGTGATGAAATGCCCGGAGTGATTCCCTTGATTTATCACTCCTGGGGAAGTGATGAATTTTTATCACAAATATTGTGTGATACTTATCGCAAAATAATGCGATAATTCTGGATTTATTGCAAAACAGTTTGATGCACATTGGACAAAACTATGATACCTCGAAGTATCGCTCAAATAAGTGATTGTTATCACAAATGTAAGCAATGAATTTAATCTTGTACTTTTTCTGCGATGATCATCACATCACAACATCGTGCAATATATCTGTATCACAGAAAATGTGCAGTCAGTATCACACTGTGATTTACAGTGTGGGGGCGCCCAGATTTTGCACACTGTCTTTATAAGTTCCATACAATTTTTAGAGGGTGCAACCTCGATTACTGTTTGCAACTGTGGCAATCTGGTGTACACCTTCCGGCAATCTACGATAATCTTCGGCAATCTCTAGTAAATCGGCTGCAAAAGCCATGTTTTTTGCCTACATTCGGGGTGACATTAGTGCGTCTTGCCTATTTACAGGCGGTTTATTCCCTTAAAGCTAAATATTCGTCAAGCAATCTGGCAATCTTGGCAATTTGGTGTACATCCTACAAGAGAGTTGAGGCCCCCTCGTTTTTTAAAAATTATTTTCTTCTTTTTTAAATTCAGGCTAATGCCTGTACCCTTCAGGGGCTGATTATGGTCCAGCTGATTTTTTTTTTGTTTTTTTTGTTTGTTTGTTATGGGTGCATACTGTCGATTGCCTACATGCAGGGTGTTTGTGTCGCAAATTGCCTACCTTTCAGGCTGCTACGACAGGGGGGCCATG